ATATATACATGTGTACATACATTTCATCATTTCCCCCACATTCTACTGGTCCAAACAAGTTATAGGTCTTGTCCACACTAAGGGAAGGGTATTATATAAGAATTTGTACAATAGGAGGTGGGGATAACGGGAACCACTCTACCAGTACACCATTCAAGAGTTGTAGAAACCATCTTCATGGGACTTTAAAAACAAAATAATACATTTGTTTCTGTTAGGCTTGAATGGAGAAAGGTAAAAATGTCAGCACTGAAGAAACAAATCATGTAGAAGACTGATTCATCAAGCTTCCAAACCTAATAAATATGTGGCCCATTAATATGATCTGGTTTGAGAAAAGTGAAGAAAACTTTTAAAGGTCACACTGCATTATTGCCTGCATTGCATTGTACTTTAAAATATTCTAGGAACTAAATCTTTTGCTTTTGTCCTCCTAAAGGAGTTTGTCTAAAGAGGAGAAAATGGACATAACAAAAGGAGTCGCAGGCGACTCGACGGCACATAACAACAACAAGCTCAATCTTTATTAAAGCTAGCAAATGGCGAATGATGAGAGAAGTCAGAGGACTCAAGTGAGAAAACAGGAATGTATGCAGTGGGGGAATGTTTGAGAAGGGCAGGTAGTTTAGGTAGGGGACAATAATCTCATTATAATCCTGCAAAGGGTCATGAATATCTTTCTGAAAGCTCCAGAGGGAGTGAGAACAACACAGCCCCTCACTGCTGAGAACAGGAAGCAGACAAAGAGCCCAGCCCCATGTTTCCTGTAGAGTCCCATCAGCACAAGAGGTTCGTTTGTTTATTTCTGACACACAGACTCAGTTACAGTACCAACAATGGGGTTTATTAGGGAAGGTAGTTGAAGAGTGAGGAAGCAAAGAATACTGATGCAACCTCAAGTCTATGATTTAGCTCAACAGTTCTAAGGCACAATTGATTAATGACTCTAGGCTCCAGTTTCAGTTCAGCAGTAAATCCAAATCCTCCAGCAAGGTTTGCTTCAGAGTAGTCGTAACCAAATCATCCAGCAAGCTTTGCCTCAGAGCAGTTATAAGTCAACTTCTACTTCAAACATCCGGCAAGAACACTCAAACCTTTAACTGTGGTAAGTACAAATGCAAGAAGCCTCAGGTCACACCTTCCCACCATTTGTGCACAGCAATGCCACAGTCTCTCCATCACGAAAGTCTTGCTCTCACCAATGTCTTTCTGCCACAAGCCTTGCTTGCTTCACGTCTTGTTGCTCAGTGTAAGCAGCACTCTTTCACTTATCCCAGTCCCACAGCTGTTGGTGATTTGCAAGAACAGGTGTCTGCAATTAAAGCAGCTGGAGACCAGAGGCAGCTAACTAAAAAGAAATACTTTTTTTTTAAAGCCAACTTTTAGGCTTCCATCACAAGTTGCACTGGAAACACCAAGTCAAGTTGTTTGAATCGACTAGTAGTGACTCCTTGTAGAAGGGCTGCGATTTGCAGCCTCTGAATACCGCTGGTGGGTTGACTATAGTCATCTTAGATTCCATGACACACAAGAACAAAAACATGTCTCTTACTGAATCCTTTTGAAAAGGATTCAGACTACCTTTTTAATATTTCTGTAAGACAGGGATAAGGGAAAAGATAGTAAACCTCTTAAACTTCTTGAAATTCATTGCTATTTTCTCAAATTGAAGGAACTAAAGCATGTTTTCTTGGTAGCTTTAAAATTCTATATATACAAGTGATGTCTTCATAGCTAGGAAACTCATGCATTATTAACTGGCTTACTCTTTATTTACTTATTTACTCTTTACTTATTTATTTAAGAAACTCACGCATTATTAACTGGCTTACTCATTGTTAACTTACTCTTTACATAATATTCACGTGATTGAGCAGGGGCTTTGTTTTTTGCTTAGTGCAAGTCTCTATGTTTTAACTACGGAGTCAAATCTAAGCTTTTATTTATTCTTAAAGCAATCTGAAAAATTTACCAGGATGTAAAATACTAACATGAAATATATGCTTTTTACATTTCACATTAACAAATGTACATAAAGGTTTCTTCTTAATCTGTTACAGAATGTATCCTATCCAAAGTGAGTCACTGCAGAGAACAATAGCATTTTTGTAAAAGTGATATTGGTGAATGCATGATTTCTTGTGTCAAAGAAATCGGGACAGGACTTGAGTGATACAATAATCAACACTGGCCTGAGAAAGCTATTTGTAACTTTTTCAGGGGAAGGGATCTGTGAGAGGGTAGATTATAAACTATGTGATTAAGAAAACATTTAAATATCAGACTATTTTCAACTTGGTTTTAGGTACTTTTCACAGAAATACGGAATTAAAAAAAACACAGGGAAGAAGAGAGAAGTGGAATCCTGCTGAGACTGTCAATAACTTCTCACCGAATGTACAATGACCTTAACTGCACAACTGGGTTTCCAAATATTGTATTTTTTACTAAAGCAGGTGGTTACGTTTTTTCCTATAAGGGGCAAAGATTTGTGTAGTTGAACCTCTGAACATTTGGTTAGCAGTCAAGCACTTAACAACTTCCCCACCAGTGCTCCTTGGTTTATTTTGCCTAGATTTACTTCCCCCATCCCTTATGCAGTCCTCCTCTCGGCTTAATTTCCCTTTAATATTTCGAAGCATTTTATGATTGTGAGGATGGCATAGGGTAGGGTAAAGTTTTGATCCTCTATTCTTAGAGTTGCTATCAGTCATAGCTGACTCTATGGAAGCTAACAACAACCACAACAGCTTAAAGAAAATGTTAGAGGGTATGTTATTTGCTAAACAACAACAACAACAACAAAAAAATCAAACCAAACAAAACAAAAAAAACCCACAAAACTTTAAAAGGTATCTCTAACATTTTAAGATTAAAACTAACAAAACAACTTCTGTGACTTTCTCCCCCACACTAGTTTTGGGCTTGTAATGGCTGTAAATGCAAAATAAGTGGGGATTTAATTACTGAATTCATATCTATATACTTATAAGAGAGTTTTTGTGTTTCAAATTAATGATGGTTTTAATGGAGAAGCATGGTTTTTTTCTGGAAAGTGGTAGATGTGATGAATATTTCTGACTGATAGTAATAGCTATCATTCATTGAGGTTTTCTTAGATTGTATATATGATGTTTATCATTTCACACGAGGCCTCTTATTTGAATCCCAACAGCATCATTGTTAACTAGATACTATCTCCAATATACAGACAAGGGTCTAGAATGGCAAGTGATTTCCCAGGAAAGACTAAAGGAATATTGTTGTTGTGATGTGACTTCGAGTCACTTGTGACTCATAGTGACTCAGTACAACAGCTCTGAGCCCTGCTCTATCCTGAGCCAACCTTAGTGTCTTTGACACACCTGCCCTCATTACCCTAGTCACTGAGTCAATCAATCTCATTCAGGATCTTTCTCTCTTGTGCTGTCCCTCCACCCTCCCAAGCATGATGTCCCTTTCCAAGGACTGGTCCCTCCTTGCAACATGCCCAAATTATGTCAGGCAGAGCTTCAGAGTCTGGTCCTCCAAGGAGCAGCCTGCTTTCACCCTCTCCAGGATGAACCAGTTTGTTCTTCTAATTGTCCATGATACATTTCACACTATTCTCCATCCAGGACCACAGCTCAAAGGTATCATTTCTTCTTCTATCATCCCTCATCATTATCCAGATTGCTGATGCCTAGCAACTAATTGTGAACACCGTGACCTGGATCAGATGCAACTTGATCTCTAGACTGACATCGTTGCTAGTCAGTATTCTGGAGAAGTCCATTATAGCTAACTATCTCTGGCTCCAAAGAGATCTCTGCTGTTGTGTTACACTGCTCCTATATGATATGTTATTTTGTGCTGCATCAATTCTGATTCATAGTCTCTCCAGAGGCAGAGCAGAACTGAAATGATTTCTTAGACTGTATTATACTCATGGGTCCTGATGGTGGAATAGTGATTATTAAGTACTCACTGACGAACTGAAAGTTCAGGAGATCAAAACCACTAGTTATTCTTTGGGGAAAGATGTGGAAATAGGCTTCTATGAGCAGTACAGCTTTCGGAGCTCCATGGGACAATTCTGTCTGGTTCTATAGGATCACTTTGGGTTGGAATCCATCTTCAGAAGCTGAACACTTAGTGATTGTATTCACAATTAAATTTTACTCAGAGCCTCATGGTTGTAGATGAATGCTACAGTTGATCCACCCTAATTTCCAAAGCTCATTGCTGGTTGTTGTTGTGTACCATAGAGTTGGAACCGACCCATAGCTGACCCTCCATTCACTCTTTAGATTAAAAAAAAAACCAAAAACCCCAACCAAAAAACAAACAAAAACAAACAAATCCAACAGTAATTCAAGGAGAATAAATCAGACTCACAGTTTTCAGCGGCAATTACTTGCACAATAGGAGATTGCCCATCCTTCTCTCACGGAGCAACTCATGGCCTTGAACCATGTGATTTTAGGATTGTAGTGCAACTTCTTGCCAATAGGCCAACAGAGCTAGCTGCTAACTAGCTCTGAGTTGTTGATTAACAGTTAAAATATAAAAGGAGACCTTATGATTTATAAAGGAAAACCTATAAAGACAATCTTCTACACAGAAATAAACAAACATGCAAGCACTAATAATTTGATCCACATGCAAAATCTTCCACATATTTCAGTGTGATTTACACTCCTAGAATCACTGTTTTTATCTAAAGAGTGTATGGAAGGCTGTTCTTCTAATACACATGAAAAGTATTCGCTTTTATAAATTACTTCTTGAAATGTCTTTAAACATTCACCAACATCACTTTCCCTACCTGCAACAGACATAACTCTAGAATTTGCGTCAGCCTACTTTCCGTGTGAAGCAAATCCTCCCCTTCCTCCTACGAGTGATTGAGTCATTCTTCTAATAGATAACAGTAGCTTTTTAAACACAGCAGCAGAAGTTCACATTGCACATTTCTAGCCTGTTGAAGATTTGGACAACTGCACATTCTCCTTTTTGACATGAGTTTGGAAATGACTTACGAAGACTTTAGTAACAAGACTGTGAAACACCAGTCTGATCAGAAGCTAAATGGAAGGAAAGACAGAGGTATGTGCAGTACAAAAATTCCTGTAGAAACTGAACCCCATTTCTAACAAAAAAAGATAAATTCTTTCAAGAATGTAATTAGAAAACCTGAAGACTATAGGATGGAAGATATTATGAGGTGGAAAATAATATTTACTTAAAATTAGTAAAATTTGATAATATTATGATGGCAATAACTAACTTTTGTTGAGCATTTACTATAGACTATGTTCTATGTTAAGGAGGCCTGGTAGCACAGTGCTTATGTGCTTAACCAAAAACTAAAAGGTTTGTAGGGCAAACTCACCAGAAACTTTGTAAGCACAAGATGTAGAAGTCTGCTTCTGTAAAATTTACAGTTGTTAAAAATCTTTCCTGTAGGGCCACTCAAAGTTAATAGATTTTTATTTTTAAATGTCCTATGCTATTCATTTTATGTGTATTATCTTTCTAAATCTTCACAGTAACTCTCTATGAATCCATCCCTTGTATACAATAATAATTTTCATAATAGTGTTCTCAAGTCATTAAAAAACCCCTAAAACATCTTCTGAATTGTCTAAAACAATTGAAAATCAGCAGGGCTTAGCAAAATTTATTAGCTTGTATATTTCTTATTTTAAAAATAGAATTTATTTAGCATATATAGTAACTTGAAGTGTTAAATGTAAATCCATAATCCAAACTCCACAAGCAATGTGGATAAATTGCATATTATTGTGTATCTATTCTGATAAAAAAGAGAAAAACTTAAGAGAAGATAGAGGAGTTATGCCAGCAATTTGTTTAAAGGAATTTTAGACATTTCCTGTACAGTACAGTTCTTGTGATATTCTTCTAAAAATTCAAAAATTTCATAAATGTAATGGGCATACTTGATATTCTATAATATGCAGTGAATACTTAGAAGAAGGAAATTGTTACTTCAAAGATTAATACAGGTATATCTGCTTTTGAGGCAAGGATTACGCAATTATTTGCAAGAAACACGACTATCTCCTGCTTCTTCTCTGCCTACTTGCCACACACTAGGCTATTATTATTCTTAGATTTAGCAAATGAAACGTATTCCTCCTGAAAAAAACTTCTCTTTAGTTTCTATCATTTGTAGTATGATACACTCATAATGTTTTTTGACATTTGTTGTTGTTGTGTACCATTGAGTCAAAACTGACCCATAGCTGATCCTCTCATGGGTTGTCAAAGGCAGCTAATTGCATTGGAGATTGCCCATTGTCTCCTACAGAGTAGCTGGTGGATTCGAACTGCATGCGTTTGGGATTGCATTTCAGTGTCTTGCCACTAGGCCACCAGAACTATGAAAAAAATCTGTAAACACATTTGGCCTTTTATTGATTTGAATTATAACACAGTCACACTGTAAATTTTGTGATGTAATGTACCAAGTTATGTAGCTACTGACAGTTGGGTAAAAGAAGCTAACATGGGCCTTAGCAACTAGATGATTTTAGGCAAGCCACTGAACTTTTCATTTTACCTGCTTGCACGTTGTTATTGTTGTTATATGCTGTTTGAGTTAGAACTGACCCATATACCCTCCAGTAGATTTTCAGAGGCAGTAAATCACAGAGGAGATTGCCATCATCCTCTCATGGGATTTGACCAGATGCCTTGGGTTTGGATGCACAGCTCCTGATTTGCCATCAGCACCTTCTTTGCTTACCTCACAAGGAAATGAGTCCAAATACATTGTGTATGACATTTTCCTGTTCAGCCAGTGATACACATGCTCTTTGTGGTTTTTTTAGTATTGTGTTGAGTCAGAACCAACTCAGAGCTGACCCTCCAGTAAATTTTCAGAAGGGGATTGTCTCGTAGCCTACTGTCAAGACGCTATGCTGCAATTCCAAAGGCATGAGTTTGAATCCATCAGAGGCTCTGTGGGAGAAGGATGAAAAATCTCCCATGTAATTAACTGTCTCTGAAAACCTTCTGGAGGATCAGCTATGAGTGGTCTCTGACTAGAGGGCAAACAACAACAAAGTACAAGTAAGGAGACTGTCCATCCTTCTCCTATGGAGAAGCTGGTGGATTCAAATGAAGTTTCTTTGGGTTGGCAGTGAAATTCCTTACCCACTAGGCCACCAGGGCTCCCCTGTTAATGATAAAACATATAAGTGACCCAGTGAAGTTGAGTAGACTCCATAGTGAATCCATAGGATGGAGTTTAACTGCTCCATAGTGTTTTCAAGGTTGTGAATCTTTATAGAAGCAGACTGCAACATCCTTATCCACTGGAGTACCTTGTAGGTGCAAACCACCATCAATCCTGACAAATGTTAATGCATTGTTGTTGAGTAGGAACTGACTCAAATCTGACTCTCCAGCCTGTTTTCAGATGCTGTAAAGCAGATAACAAATTTAGATAGTCATTTATCTGTTACTTGCATAGTTTTATCTGCTTTTATCACAATAGTGTCTTTTTTTCAACAAAACCATATTAGTTGTTGTTTTTATATGCTGTCAAGTCAACTCAAAACAACCCTATGTACAACAGCCCTAAACCTTGCTCTATCTTGTGCCAATCTCACTGTCTCTGACACACCCATCCCAATTACCCCAGTCACTGAATCAATCCATCTCATAGAGGGTCTTCCTCTCCTGTGCTGTCCCTCCACCCTCCCAAGCATGATGTCCCTCTCCAAGGACCTGTCCCTCCTTACATCATGTCCAAAGTATGTCAGACAAAGCCTCAGAATCCTTGTCACCAAGGAGCAGCCTGATTTTTTAACCCTCTCCAGGATGAATGTGTTTGTTTTCTTGGCAGTTCATGATACATTCAATACTCTACTCCAGCACCACAGCTCAAAGGCATCAATTCTCCCTCTACCCTCCCTAGTCACTGTCTAACTCTCTGACAAATAACAAGTGATTGCGAAGATCATGGCCTGTATCAGATGTACCTCAGTCTCCAGAGTGACACCATTGCTCTTCAGTACTTTGGAGAGGTTCCTAACAGCCGACTTTTTCATCGCAATACGTCTTTTAATTTCCTGGCTGCTGGTGCCAAGAGTGTTGACTGTGGAGCCAAGCAAACTAAAGTTGTTAACAATCTCAATCTCTTCACCATCCATCCTGATGCTGCCAATTGTATAAATATAAAAAATGATGTAAAATAAGTCAAGAAATATCAAAGTTTCACTCTATTTAAAAAGCTCTAAGATATAATTTTATTAGGATATCAGCTAGTATAAAATTGTGTGCTGAATTTTTTGAGACAATCTTTGCTTATTAACTAAGTTTTGTTTGACATTAATTACTGATGGGTAACCTCCTCCCATGTCATTAGCTGCCTCTGAAACCTGCCAGAGGGTCAGCTATGGGTCGATTCTAACTCTACGGTACACAACAGCAACATAACACATATGTGTGCTTGTACATGTCTTATGCATATACCTTCAAATGAATGTGCACATAGACACTGATGAAGAAATTACATTCCCTACCTTTGTACTCTCCAGTGGGTTTTCAGAAGCAGTTGCTCACATGGGAGGAGACTGCCCATCCTTCTCCCACGGAGTAGAGAGTGGACTTAAACCGTTTGGCTTCAGGTTTACAGCGTAGCTTCTTGCCACTACATCACAAAGTAAGGAGTTGCATCATCAATGCAAAGGCAAGTGGTTCGAATCCACCAGTTTCTCTGCAGAAGAAAATGGGCAATCACTTCTTCTGTGATTTGTTGCCACTGAAAACCTGCTAGAAAATTAGCTATGAGTCAGTTCTGACTTGATGGCACATAATAGCAGCAACAACATTTATACAGATATTTAGGATTATGTATGAAATTTTACATTTTAGCCTTTACATTTATTGGATGTATATGTGATCAAAGGAAAATTACTTAATTATCAGCTTTCCATGTTTTTCACATGTCAATATGAATAATACATTCTTTAAAGAACCAACGGGAGGTGTGAAGGTAAGGAAGACAGTATCCAAAGTATTGCTTGGCTATCGAAATTCTTGTTGCTATCCTTTACTCTCCTGATTCTTTTCCTGTCACTCTAGGTACTCATTTTCTTTCTTCTCCCTGGTGGTACGCTGCTACTGTGACTCTTGGAATCCTTTGCCTGGGATTAGTGGTGGCCATTGTAATGCTGGCAAAACAATGTAAGTGCTGACACAGAGAAATGGGGGAAGTGGAAGGGCTTAAAACATTGTACATAAATTCATTTTATAATAACAACAAATGGCCTTGATTTGATACACTTTAGACAAAATACTTTTAGAATGAGTGGGAAAATGAATTGGTACAAGGTTCTTATTTCTCAAGTGACTAGAGGCAAGGAGATTGTAAATGGCAGTATGGTAGGAAAGTATCATTTGAAGCTACCAATTTACAAGATCATCTGAGAAACCTAAAATTAAAATAAACCTCATTAGGTTTAAACACAATTTAAAATAAAGAACCCAGACACAACGTTACTAAAAAAGTGAAACATGTAATGCAAAATGTTCCAATTTATAATATGGCCATTTGAAAAAGAGGGGACATTTAGAGGGAAGGAGGAAATGGAAGAGATGAGAATGAGAAGAAATGATGCCCATCACTCTTCTCCTCTGCTGGTGTATTTAGGTTGTTGAGCATTCTTTTCCATCTCCAGGTTCAATGATAGTTAAAGGACTTACCGTCTTAAAACATTGTTCAATGTCACACAATTCCTTGTTTTTTAAAAAATATGTAAACATGATGAGCCTTTAAAGCCTGATGATTTGGAGAAATGGCTGAGCCTCAGGGGTGTTAACTGGAATAGGGTTGCTCTGAGGCTTGGATCACTTTACAGTATGATGGGTAGCCTTCAAGTCAAGAACCTACTTTGTTCTGAACCATGGCACTTATCAAACAGAGATATTTGGCCCCAAAACATGTGATGTCTGCCTGATTTCATAATCCTTGTCTCCACCCTTCCTAAAATCTGCTGTGGCAAAAAAAGAAGAAAGTTGTTTTGATTCTTAAAATTCTGTGTGGGTGAATGTCTTGAAACTGGGGTGTTACAACTTTTACATAAAATTAGGAAGTCTGGAATTGTAGACAGAACTACAAGAGAAATAGCAGAGGACTCAAGACACTGTGGGGCAAAATCACTAATGACAAGTCTTAGTAATAGACACTGAGTCTGGTTAGCAATAACTATTTTATTTTTCTTTTGGCATCTGACTTTTAGATTGTCTATATTTTATGGAGCACTTAGGTTGCTATTGCTTTTAACTTGTGTGTAACTTTCAATAAAAAGTAAAATTCCGGTAATTTATTTATTTATTTATTTTATTTTTTTTTTTATGGGAAAGTAAAAGAAAAGATTCTTTCATTGTTTTACATTTAAATGCTTATAAATTATATGAATTTGCCATAGTCATTGGTATAAATCCACCACCACCACCACCTACTTTGATAGAATATTTAATGACTCACAAATCTAGATTTCTGGTTAAATTAAAGCTAACTTCCAAGCAACTGATGTGTTATCAAAATAAAAAAACTCGGTTATGTTCTCATCTGTGCTTTAGTATCCCAGGTGTCTGCTCTTCTAAAGCAACAACAAGCAAACCTCACTCAGCAGGAAAACAAACTGGAGGGTCAGATGCTAGCCCAACAGCAGGCCCAAGAAGCTTCCCAGGAGTCACAAAAGGAACTCAAGGAAATTATAAAAACACTTTCTGAGACGCTGGATGAGAAATCTAAAAAGCAAATGGAACTTCAACTTGAGAAAATGAATCTCCAAGAAGCTCTGAAGAAAGCAGCAAATTTTTCAGGTACAAGGGGAAGATAGTGGAAATTTCCTTTTAGTCTTAACTCCCCTTTTCAAGAAAAGTTTTGAGGCACAATATTGACATATTAATATATGTATTATTATTCACTCATTATATTGTATGCCATAAATGCTCTATTTCTGTATGATCCATTCCACCGTACATTAACCCACATCTCCGAGATAGGTTATATATGTTTTCTTTCTTCACAAGAATCCCATCTTTTCAAATTCTCATTTTAAAATTGTTTTATGGAAGAACTTTTCTATCCACACACCGGCTATTATAGATCTTTATTTCTTTCTGTTCTAACATATTTTAATTCTTGGGTTTCTTTTCCTAAGGTATATCTTTTGTCTGTAGAACTCCTTCTGTCCTTTGCTTCACTCTGTGACAGTGATATCAAAAGTGCTTCAGGTTATATTAAGGCAATGGAGGTAGGTTGGCTGGGAAAGACTGGCTCAGCAGATCTTTCAGAGTAGATGACAATGTGATGGACTCAAGAATTCACTTTATGTGAGAAGAGTTGAGTTGATCCAGATTGTCTGAATGAACACAAATTCTGGGATCCAGAAAGAAATATTAGCAATTCTTTAGAAGAAAGTGATGATATTAAATCTGACATTATTTCAGAATTTTTACAAACTATTTAATCCCTTAGTGTGTAATTTTAGCCATAGGCAAAGTGAAAGAGTACATTATAGAACTATGTTCTGCTTGAGTCATTTTCAGAGCTACCTTGCTTCCTTGGAGTATTTGTATAGATGTCTTACTCTCAATACTAATAATTGCCTTTAGGAAGCAGAGAATTCTCCATATTCTTCAGTCTCAAATATTTATTTTTTTAAGTGAAAATTTTACAAAATTACTTCACAAACTCTTTTTACTTCTGATTATTTAAGAGCAAGCATCTAAATTATTTCAAGAATTAGTCTGCAACATGGATTGAAGCTCAGCATTAGGAAAACGAAGATTCTCCGCACAGGGCCAGTAGGCAAACCCATGATAGATAGAGAAGAGATTGAGATTGTTAATTTCAGTTTGCTTGGTTCAACAGTTAACTCTCTTGGCACCAGCTGTCAGGAAATCAAAAGATGAATTGTATTAGGAAAGTCTGAATATTTTCCAGAATACTAAAGAACAATGATATCAGGCTAGGGATTAAAGTGCACTTAATCCAGACCATGGTCTTCACAATTACTTGTTATGAATCAGAAAGCTAGACAATAATCAAAGATGACATAAGAATTGATACCTTTTAGTTATGGTGCTGGAGAAGAGTATTGAACATACCATGGACAGCCAAAAGAACTAGCAGATCTGTTCTGGACAAGGTGAAGTCAGGCTAGTCTTTGGAGGAAAGAATTTTGAGGCTCTGTCTTACATACTTTGCTCATGTTGCTAGGAGGGACCAGTCCTTGGAGAAGAATATCATACTATGAAGATTAGAGGGACAGCACTTGAGGGTAAAACCCTGGATTAGTGGATTGTCACAGTAACTGAGATTAAGAGGGGATATGAGTCAGAAACAGTGGGATTGGCTCAGGATAGGGCAGGGTTCAGAGCTTTTGTGCATAGGGTCACTATGAATGGTAGTTGACTTGACACATAACAGTAACAAGTTCTTCGATGTATTAATGAAATAAAGAACATCTATGAAGTAGTAGTATACAATTTTCTCTAAAAGATATTAAATATTTGAGACTAATGAGAATGGAGAATTCTCAGCTTCCTAAAGGCAATTATTAATGCTGAGAGTAGGACATCTACTCAAGTCCAGAGAAGCAATGTAGCTACGAAAATGACTCAAGCAGGACATAGTTCTATAATGTAGTCTTTAACTTTGCCTATGGCTAAAATTACACACTAAGGGATTAAATAATTTCTAAAAATTCTGAAATAATGTCAGATTTAATATCATCACTTCCTTCAAAAGAAATGCTAACATTTATTTCTGGATCTCAGACTTTGAGCTCATTCAGACAATTCAGATCAACTCTTCTCATATGAAGTGAATTCTTGAGTCTATCACACTGTCACCTACACTGAAGCACCTGCATAGCCAGTATTTCCCAGCCAACCTACCTCCATTGCCTTAACTGAACCTGAAGCACACTTTTTAAATCACTGCCGTAGAATGAAAAGTTATACAAAGTTTTGTGGTTTATACATATACTCAACATTAATTAAGTCATTTAAATTTTTTAAGCAAACATGACTTTTCAGTTTATTGTGGTTGTTGTTATGTGCCATCAACTCACTGTAACTCATAGAGACCCTATGTACAATAGCTCTGAATGCTGCCCTATCCTGAGTTGATTTCACCAACTCTAACATATCTATCCCCATTATCCCAGTTACTGTGTTAGTCCATCTCATCTGGGATTTTCCTCTCCTGCACTTTCCCTTTACCCTTCCAAGTATGATATCCTTCTCCATGAATTGATCTCTCCTGACCATATGCCCAAAGTTTGTGAGCTAGAGCTTCAAAATCCTTGCCTCCAAGGAGAAACATGATTTCACCCTCTCCAATACAGACGTGTTTGTTCTCTTGGTGGTCCATGGTATGTTCAGTACTCTTTTCTGGTACCACAACTCAAAGGCATTGATTCTTCTTCTGTCATCCTTAGTCAGTGTCCAGCTCCTCTGAATCATAGCAAGTAATTGTGAAGACCATGACCTGAATCAGCATCTCTTATTTTCTAGACTGACATCATTACTCTTTAACACTTTGGAGACACAGAGCAGACTTTCCCAATGCAATTTGTCTTTTGATTATCTGATTGCTGGTGTCATCTATGAATCTCTTTAAGGAAGGATTTAACAAAGAAATAAATGAACACCCATCATAGCAGATTCTTTTTCATAGCACATTTTAAGAACAGTGGAGATAGAAGGCTTACATAACCCTAGTTTATACAAACAGAAATGTCTGCATACTGATCACTGGTATATTTCACAAGCAAGGCTGTGATGTTCTTTTTCCTTATCAGTTGTATGGGATTAAACTTATTTCATAATAATTTAAAACTATTTTCTGGAAATGTGAAGTGTGAATCAATCAAAAGTAATAAGCAACATGTCTCTTGCTGTGTAATTTTTACCTTTCATCAACCAAATTTGTAAAAGATTATCAAGTAATAACAATTTAAAAGCACACATATGCAAAATATGCTAATTTCTTCAAGTTTGTGACACACTTTATCTTTTTTCAGGAGCTCTAGTGGCATAGTAAGGTGTTGCTTGCTCTCTTAACCCCAAATCTGAACCTCTCTGATGACTCAAATTGGCCAGTAGTTCCAAGAGAGAAAGGTGTGCAATCTCTAATAGTGTATATTACAACCTTAGAAATTCAACTGAGGGTCAGCTATAAGTAGGTTCAACTTGATGAAAATGAGCTTTTTGAGCTTTTATAATTTTTATTAACAAGTCTGTGATTTTTCAATGTGTCAATAAGGAAAGAGAAGGGAGAGACTTTGAGAAGTTGCCTAATGTGGCTTATTTGAAATTATGCAGTTACTAAAATGGGATCTTTCAGGGTAAGGCATTTGATAGTTGGTACAAGGATAAGTGGTGATTGTTGATCTTTAACATACAAAGCATGACCAAAGTGACTTATTAAATATGAAACATTTCAGAGATACCCCAAAATTCAGTAAATTCTGTACGAAATGTCTTGGGAGCCTCAGGATATTTCATCAGATGACTGTAACCCACCGACTTGAGTAATGTGGTATAATGACTAAATATTACAAAGTCTAAAATTAGAAGAGCTACGTTAAACTGCCATGTAATATGAACATACACATACATATATAGATGTATACATAAATATGTTGTTGTTGTTGTATACTATCAACAAAACTGACCCATAGCTGACTCTTTAGTGGGCTTGCAGAAGCAGTTAATCACAGAGGAGAAAATTGTCTTTCTCCTGCAGAGCATCTGGTGGATTTGAACCATGTGCCTTTAGGATTGAAGCACAGCTTCTTGACACTTGACCACCCATTATTATATATGTTGTTGTCATGTACCACCAAGTTGGAATCAACTCATAGTTGAGCCTCCAGGGGGTTTTCAGAAGCAGTTAATTGCACAGAAGGAGATTGCCCACCTTTTACCTGCATTATTATATCAGATAAATGTAATTAAACCTATTTCATTGAGTTATAAGGGTTGAGTGAAATCTTTTTTTTTAAAAAAATTATTATTTTGGTGTGTGTGTACTGTCAAATTGGATCTGACTGTACAGGAGGAGATTGCCCCTCCTTCTCTAGCAGAGCATCTGGTGAATTTGAACCATGCACCTTTGAGATTGCAGTGCAGCTTCTTGCCACTAGGCCACCAAAGCTACTCTCAGTGAAATAGCTGAAATTCTTCCAACAGTGTCCAGCACATTGTGATTTGGTGCTTGTTAAAAAGGAAAACAAACATAACATTAAATGTAAATATTTGAATATCACATTTTGGTCTGTCTTTCAGGTTTTGACAAAACTTGGAAAATGACTGGATTGCTGCTTTAGTCTATGAAAACTTTTGTTTTCCATTTACATAGTAAGATGGATCTAGAAAAATTAAGAATATTTTATTTCATAGTTTCACCCAGAATTTTACCTATCTTTACTCACAACTGTCATACAGTGTTTTTTAAATCCAGTAAAATTTAGTATGTAAGGATTTTATTCTACAAAGAAAATTGAAATTAAACTATTGCCTTTCTCTAGGATTTTTATCTATTCATTTTTGTTTGGAGACATTGCATGGTTGAAATTCAAGAAGGGTGTACTCCAAGGATGTATTCTGTCTCTATACCTTTCAAACTATATTCAGAATAGATTATCTGGGAGGCTGGGCTGTATGAGGAGGAATGTGTCATCAGGATCAGAGGAAGATTCATCAACAACTTGTGTTGTGCAGATGACACAACCCTGCTTGCTGAAACTGAGAAGGACCTAAAGTGCTTGCTGTAGAATATAAAGGACTGCAGCCTTTAATATGGATTGAAGCTCAACATCAAGAAAACAAAGATTCTCAGCACTGGGCCAATTGTCAACATCATAATGGATGAAGAGATTGAAATTGTTAACAGCTTAAGGTTGTTTGGCTTCATAATCAACACTCTTGGTACCAGCAGCCAGGAGATCAAGACATGAATTGCACTGGGATAGTAAACTGTCAGGGACATCTCCAGACTACTGAAGAGAAAAGACATCAATCTGGAGACTAAGGTGTGCCTGATCCAGACCATAGTCTACCCAATTGGTTGCTATGCATCAGAGAGCTAGACAATTACTAGGGATGATAGAACGAGAATTGATGTCTTTGAGCTGTGGTGCTAGAGAAGAGTTTTGAATATACCATTGACTTCCCAGAGAACAAACTTGTTTGTTTGTCCTGGAGAGGTTGAAGCCAGCCTGCTCCATGGAGGCAAGGATTCTGAAGCTCCATATGACATACTTTGGGCATGTTGCAAGGAGGGACCTTGGAGAGGGACATCATGCTTGGAAGGGTGGAGGGATGGAGAAAGGAAGGGAGACCATCCATGAGATGGATTGACTCAGTGATTAGGGTAATGAGGGTAGGTGTGTCAGGGACAGTAAAATTGTCACAGGATAGAGCAGGTTCATTTTTGTCTTTTGCCATTCTGAATATTAAAGGCTGTGTTTCATCTTAAAGAGATTTTAAATGTTGCCAAAACATGAAGGATATGACAATGGTGGTGGAGGTGTGATGACAATAGTGATAGTGGTGGTTCTGATATTGTAGTGTTGATTAAAGCATAAACCAAAAATGAATCCAATGCTTATGGGGATCCTCTAATGACTGTAAACTATTATGGGAAGAAACAATATTTTTCTTCTATTAAACAGAGGGTACATACTACCAAGTGTCCAAGACCTAATACCGACATCTTTACCTAATAGCCTAAACATGAGTTAGGTTTGTTGGTCACCTTGGTAATTTTGGTGCTGGAAATGTCTTTTCATTAATTCATTGAAACATATTTTAGTGTCAATATAGATTTTTTTCTATAAAGACACTCTGATAAGGAAATATAGCATGACACACATATAAAATATTAAATTTTGTAAAGACCTTTCTAAAAGAAAAGGAAACATGAAATAATTGCTATAGTGTGTTTTATTTGACTTAATATATTTATTATATCATTTTAACATTGTATTAAGTATAAAATTATTAGTGATTTATTTTACATTCTTTCATACTTAGATTTCAAAGTTGGGAGTATATTTAATACCTATAGAACATTTCAGTGTAAACTAATCACATTCCAAGTGCTGAAGAGTCACATGTAACTTTATCTTTATTGATATTTGCTATTGATTTCAACTTATGGAACCCTTTGCATGCAGAATAGAACTATTCCCTAATGTTTTCAAGAATGACATTTTGGAATTAGATCTCAGACTTGTTTTATGAGAAACTCTTGGGAAAGTTCAAACTGCCAACCTTTCAGTCAGTCAGTTATCGAGTACTCAACTATTTGTACCACCCAGAGGCTTCTTGCATGCAGCTAGTGGCTGCCATATTGGGTATATCTAGAAGCAGAAGGTGTACTATCAAAGCAAAAACATATTATGAAAGGCCTTGAAGTTTAAAACTATGCAAATGGAAATTTTTAATGTCAGAATGTCTATTAAACATCCACTCCCGAACTCTCACATTATTCCAACAATAACAAAAGAGCTAAGATATTACATTCTAATCAAGTCCATTTTTTAAAGAGTAAGTGAAAATGGTAAATGAGTAGTTAAGTCTGTTTTTAAAATCAAATTTCTTCCTCTCCTGCCTCCCATAAACTATTGAGAAATAAGTACTTTGAAGCATCTTAAGTGTCTACTGTCTGGTTATAATAACCAAGAAGAGATAGATGGACGTGAAAGGATTGAGGAGAGACTTGATTCACAGGATTTCCCTTATCCAAGTGTTACTGACTGGATGTTCTGTATTTCCTAGGTCCTTGTCCCCAACAGTGGATCTGGCTTGGAGAAAACTGTTACTTCTTTTCCTCTAGCTCATTTAACTGGAAAAAAAGCCAAGAGAACTGTTTGTCTTTGGATGCCCAGTTGCTGAAAATTAATAGCGTAGGCGATCTGGTGAGTTTTTATGGGTTTGTGTTGGGCTGTAAATTACAGGTTTATAGAGAAATAAATTTGGTTTAGGCTCATGGTAGGAAAGCATTTGCTTGAGAGCCAGGTACCTGAATTCTAACTCGACTTGGCACTAACGTACATGACCTTGGAGGGACAAGTTGTACACTGTGTTTTAGGTCTCAGTAAACATAATGTAAAACCATCAAGACGATGATAAAATCAGTTTTTTTTATTTTTGAGAGTCTAAGGCTTTAATGGTCATGTCTGTGTGGACCTATGCTTCTAGCCCATAGGCCGCACCCTCTGGAAGTTCAAATCCACCAGCAGCTCTCTCAGAGGAAGATGGAAATATCCTCTCAGATTTACAGCCTCTGAAAGGCCACAGGACAGTCAGGTTAGAGTCAGTTCTGATACAAGGACAAAGAGTGTGAGGTTCTGAGTGCTAATCAACTTGAAGATTTCAAACCACCACCTTGACTCTACAATCAACTTAGAAACATTCTTTCCCACAGGAATTAATCCAGAAAGCCAGTGCCCATTCCAGTTTCCCATTCTGGATGGGATTGTCTCACAGAAAACCCAACAACTCATGGTTATGGGAGGATGGCTCTCCTTGGATGCCTGATTTGTAAGTTTCCTATCCTTTGCTAAATCTATCAGTGAAGTTGTGGCTACATCATACCACAGTCTTCTAACCAGAGAGAACATTGGAAAATTTTTCAAGGTCTCCTGCCCTACCATTCTCAAATGAGTATGTGCTCATTTAGCCACTGCAACTTTCTTTTACATTTTCTTGTTGCTATTTATCACTGATTTGAAAGTTTTAAGACCGGTTCCTTCCATAAAATAATAGTAAAATATATTTTTTTTATCCCCTCCTATCTGCAGGTTTAGACTCCAGGGTGCTGTTTCAAAGACATTCTCTGCAGGCACGTGTGCATATATGCAAAGGGGGATTGTGTATGCTGACAACTGCATTTTAGCTGCATTCAGTGTATGCCAGAAGAAGGCGCATCTCTTGACAGCACAGTGAATTCAAAGAAGCCAGAAGAAGAAAATGGGACGGTCTTTGAATCTTACTCCAGATATAAAGCTATTTTCCACTACTCAGGTGCAAACCATGAACTCCGAGCACGGGCATGACTGCCTCTTATTAGCAGTCTGCAGATCTTGTTAGCAGAGACTTAGGGTCCAGTTGCCCATCACCTTTATGTCAAAAGATTGTCTAGACTTGTTTCAACCTTTGTGCCAGCCTTCAATTCCTCTACCATTTTCTGTTTTTACCTTTTACTGTTCTCCAAGCTTTGGGACCCCTGTGCATTCAGTCTTCTCTACCTCAGTGCCTCTTTCACCACACCCTCCTAAAACTACAAAGGGGATAGAGCAAGGAGAACTTGCCCAACTGCAGCCTAAGGGGGGAAAGAGGAAATATGCATGGGCAACAGTGTGCATGAAGAAATAAAGGAGGGGAGAGGCCACTATGAAATCTAGAAAACTTGTGTTCTCATCTCTCATCATCTCTCGTTTCTCTGTTGTAGAGTATCTGCAGACTGCACACACACAGCATCTGCATGCTTTGAAGGTCAGTTAAGAGAATCTAGAGTTGTTATGAGTTATTAGGGAATCTAGGGTTACTTAACTCAAGGATAGCACATGCTTTTTGGTTTAAGGTTATTTTTGTTGTTCCCCCCCTTCTTCAGGGAGTGATTTGACAGTTGTTTCTTTGAACTAAGAACTAGCCTACAACCCACTACTAGTACCCAAATTAGGTACTCAGATTTTCTTTCCCAAAACTCTGCCTTTTTGAGTATACATAATCTTTCTGAATAGTGCACTCAGTGATAGTTAGAATCATGGGCTACAAACAAAAATTACACTAAGAAAAATCACAATAGACACTACTTCCCCCTTCCTAAAAGTACATATTCATACAACAAATATCAACTCTGGTATGTTTTTTGGTAATGCATAACATACAGGACAAATGAATGAATATACTAATTTCTAGCCTAAACTGAGCTAAGTTTGGAGATACTGCTCTGTAGGAGCAGGTGGAGTTTAGTTTTCTGTATTTTCTGTGTTTCTATGCTGTTTCCACAACCCTTCAACTATCCTCAACTTTAAAGAGAATCTTTCCATTTGGTGCAGAAAATGTTGTACCTCTTCTATCATCAGTTTCAGGAAAGCAAGAGTTGTTTTATTTTTCTTCCATAAATGGTTTTATTAAGGTATAATTGGCATACAATAAAGTAAATGTATTTAAAGTGTAAAATTTGATTAAGTTGATAAATGTAAATATTTTTTAAATCGTCACTACCATGAAGATAATGAACATCTCCATCTTTCCGAAAGATTTCATCCTTCAAATTCCACTCCCTAGATCATCACTGGTCATCATTCAGTTTGTGTTTTGTAGGTATTTATAAAAGTGAACATCACATACTGTTTAGGGCTTTTTAAATGTGATTTAGTATTTTTAGTTTCATCCATCTTATTGTTTGTATCAGTTGTTCATTTTTCTTTAATGATAAGCATTATTTTCTTGTACAGATATATGACAATCTGTGTATCCATCCTCTTGCTACTGGCATTTGGGGAGTTTATAGTTTGTGGCTACTACGAATAAAGCTATTATGAACCTTTGTGCTAAGTCTTTATTTGAGCATAAAGTATCTTTTCTCTTGATTAAGCATTAAGATTGCAGAGTTGTGGTGGCACAAAGGTTAGTTGCTCCACTGTTAACTTAAAGAGTCATGGTTTGAACTCACAGGCAGAGCTTCTCTCGTAGTTCAAATCCACTAAGCACTCTGCAGGATAAAGACTGGTAAACTCCTCCTGTTCTATTTCCAGCTTCTAAAAACCTGCTTGAGAATTAGCTGAGTCAATTCCAACTTGAGGGCTCAATGGCCATGAGTTTTGAGTGAGTAGCTTCATGAAAGAAAGGCCTGGAAATGTACTTACTTAATGATTGCTGTTAAAAATACACTACAGGTGTTTCTACTCTTTCACACAAGATCACTTTGATGCAGAATTAATTAGAACCATACCTAATAGCAGCTGTATTGCAAGCCCAAAGCCCACCAGGTTTTAATTCATCAGCTATTTCCTGGGATGAAAGATTAACAATTTGTCCTGTACAATTTATTGTCTCTGAAAATTCACTGGAGGTTCTACTATGAGTCAGTTTTAACTTGATGGGACAGAACAACATACCTATTAGCAATAATATAATTTCTACATTATACATATATCTTGCGTGGTTTCACAATCAACACTCTTGGCACCAGCAGGCAGGAAATCAAAAGACAAATTGCATTGGAGAAGTCTGCTGTCAGGTTCATCTCCAGAGTGCTAAGGAGCAATGCTGTCAGTCTGGAGACTAGGTGTGCCTTATCCAGTCCATGGTCTTCTCAATTACTCGCTATGCGTCAGAACTGGACAATGGTTAAGGCTGATAGAAGAATAACTGATACCTTTGAATTGTGGTGCTGGAGAAGAGTATTGAACATACCATGAGCTGCCAAGAGGATATCTAGGTCTGAAAAAGGATGAAACTAAGTTGCTCTTTGGAAGTCAAGTCTTTGAAACTTTGTTTTATATATTTTGAGTATGTTGTCAGGAGAGACCAGTCCTTGGAGAAGGACATAATACTTATAAGGGTGGAGGGTCAGCGCAGTAGAGGAAGACCCTAGGTGAGATTGATTGACATAGTGACTGTGACAATGGGGGCAGGTGTGTCAGAGATGGTGTTGGTTTAAGATACGGCAGGATTCAGAGTTATTGCTCATAAGGTCACTATGAGTAATAGTCCACTTAATGACACATAACAACACATACATATTTCGCTATTTAAGACTCTGCTAAACTGTATTCCAAAGTTGTACTATTTTACATTCCCAGAGCAGTATATGCTATTCTTTATTCCAAGGGAGATCTAGTGGCATAGTTCCTAAGGAACTAGTGCTGCTAACTCAAAGGACATGCATCTATACCAGTTTAAACCCACCAGCACTTCTGCAGGGGAAAGTCTCTTTCTGGGATTTACCGTCTTGGGAAACCTACTGGATGGTCAGCAATAACTCAAGTCCTATTTAAAGGCAACAAGATGAGATTCTTACTTATCTTGCCAACACTTAGCATACTTAGTCTCTGTAATTTTATCTATTTAAAAATGTATTTAATTCTTTGAAGAAGAACATAAGTACAACACTTAAGAGAGAAAGCCTCTAATAATTAAGCCAAACTATTATTTAGCTTTAAAAAAACTGCCTTCAGAGTCAGTTTAATGTTTAAAGATTCTTTCAGGTCAATAGTTTTGGATTTCAATGTCTGTAGGAGAGTTGTTTTTTTGTTTATTATCATTATTGGTTTGTTTATAAAATTTGTATACATTGTGTTTCACACTATTCTTCATTCATTGTATCTAATACAATCATTTTCATGCATTAGTGTTTATAGAATTGAGCAGCATTGGACCTTGCCCAGCATTGCTCTTTTTGCTGCCTCTTTCCCATTTTCTTCCCCTGCTCTCTCCACCCAGGAATTTGTACAACCTGCGGTTTCATCCCTACCCATCTTCAGCCTTCCCTACCTTGAGTTCCCATATATGTTTTGCTAGTTATCCTTTCTTTACAAATAATGGTCTTATGTCGTATTCGTCTTCATGAGACTGTGTTCGTGAACTCAGCATAAAGCTTTCCAGCCGCTCTCAAGTTATGTAGTACTTTTCAAAATCATGCTCCTGAGTACTGCATAATAGTCCATCATGTGAATGTACCACAATTTCTCAATCTATTCGATTGTGGTTAAACATTTGGGCTGTTTCCATGTTCTTGTGATAGTGAATAATGCTGCTGTGAACATTGGTATACAAATCTTCATTTGTGTCTCCATTCTAATTAATTTTCTTGGGGTATATTCCTAGTAGTGGAACAGCTATGTCATATGGAGTTTCTATGTTCAACTTTCTGTGGAAATGCCAAACTATCTTTCAAAGTGGTTGCACCATTTTACAATCCATCAACAATGTATGAGAGTTCCCACCTTTCCACATCCTTTCCACCATTTATTGTTTGCCACCCTACTAAACTTTCCCACTGTTATAGGGGTGAGATGGTATCTCACTGTGGTTTTGATTTATATCTCTCTTATTTCCAATGACTTTGAGGATTTCTTCATGTGTCTGTCAGCCATCCTAATTTCTTCCTCTGTAAAAAGTCTTTCTATGTCTTTGTTATTTTTTAGTTTATTCTTAATTTTAATTAACATTTACAGAGATTTTGGATTTCCATTCATTCATTGTTGCATTTTCCCCCCTGCCCACCCCTCTCTCCAGTTCACTCTTTTCTTTGAAAAGTAAAATTCCTTCATTGTTATACAATACAATCACCCCCCTTCCATGTCTTTTTGTACTTTTAAATTCTTTTTCATTGCTTTCCTCTTTTGGTGAAAATTTAACATTCAGTAGTAATAACTGCACATCATTGAGCTCTTCTAACATTATTGCAAAAGAGGCACTTATTCAAGGAGACAATTAGACATGCATTGCATTTCCTCAAACTTCTGTACCTTAGATAGTCATTCCAAGTTTTGACAATTCATGTACTATGTAATAAACTAGGAATTAGAGCAGAAACTCTAATACAATATTAGACTGATTGAACTGTCCAATGAAATCATGACCCTAATTCTCCAAACACACACTCTGCAATTTTCTGTTAAACCATTTTCTCAGGTGCACAGCTTGATATTCATTAAAGTATGTTGTGCAGTTATGACTTTTAATAGATTCCATTACTTCCTAATACTGGACACAAAAATACATTGCTTCTCAAACAGTTTTTCTTCCAATTCTCCTTGCATCTACTTCTTGTAACTATTAATAAACACTGGTTACTATATATTTGCCTACTCTCATGGCCTAATAAGTAGAGAGCTGTGCTCCCTACCTAATGGCAGGAAATGCGGATTCACTAGATACTCTATAGGGGAAAGTTGGGCAATCTCCTCCTGCATGATTTACAATCTCTGAAA